TCATGAACTCAACAAGTGAGGTCAAGAAACCACCCTCAAGCCGTCCACACGAGACACAATAGAAAACGGGAAAACAAAAACAAGTCCACTCGTGTCCTATTGTAACAGCTGTTTTTGTTCGCTTGCTTTTGTTAGTTGTTTTGTGCGCGTTTTGGTTTATATTTTTGTGGGATGGCGTTGATAAAATAGCGCCTGGCTCGTGTGTGGGGAGATGGGGGGTGAGTGTGGGTGTGTGTGTAGATGTGTATGTGTGGGATGTTCATATGGGGTGTGCGTGTATGGGGTGTGGGTGTGCGTGTGTGTGTCTTGTACATATGTGTGGTATGCTTGTGTCTAGTGCGTATGTTGTGTGCGTGTATGTGTGAGAATGTGCTGTGTGTGTGTGAGTGTGTGGTGTGAGAATGCTTTTTCTGATCGGCTTCAAACCTTAATTATTGGTGGTCTTCGTTACAACATAACTTGTCACTCACTCTTAGATGTGTAAATTTCAATTTGCCAATTTGCCAATTGTTTCCCGAGTAATAACTAGAGAATGCCTCTTCTGTTTGGCTTCAAACCTTAATTACTAATGTATCATAATTCTGGGCCGTACTGATTCCAATTTTTAATTTATTTGCCAGTTTTATCAAGCTGGATTTTTAAAAACATTAAAATACTTTTTCTTTACGGGATTACAGAGAATTTTATATAGAATGTAAACGAGAAAAATAAACTGAAAAAAAAAATCCATATTTTTATGATATTTTAAGGTTAACTTAGGTAAAAACTCTGCCAGTTTTATCAGCATTCTCAGCATCATCATCCTTTGCCGTCTCAGAAACTTTAGCCTGTTACTCGAGAACGCCTTAGTCGATCGGCTTCAAATTTTCAACACTTGCGTAACATATCATGGGTAAGATTCATAAGAATATCTGCCTGTCTGGGTGACCTGTGTTCAGTGCCACACAGGTCATTCCCAAATTTTGTTTGGGTGTGACAGGTTGAGAGTCTGTGGTGACCCTCATCGCTGGTGTTTCCTGCTGGGTTGATGCTTGATGTCTTGATGCCGTTGATGCTAGTGTGGGCTCTTGATCCAAGGAAATGCACTTAATTCCTTTTGCTTCGATCGAATTTGAGTGCCTCCCATTACACAGGCGCTATGACGCCTACGGATTTAGCGCTTCCCTGGAAGGTGTCAGTGGTCCAGGTTGTGTAGGCACAATATTTTTCTCTTTGATTCTGATCAACAACTGGAAAATTCATCTTCCAGTCAACTTTAAACTTTTAGTGTTGATGTGTTTTCATTAAGGGAAAGAATATTGATGTCATGTTATGTAAGTTATCATGTGATGTCATGTTATGTAAGTTATCATGTGATGTCATGTTATGTAAGTTATCATGTGATGTCAGGTTGTGTAAGCTATGTGATATCAGGCTGTGTAAGTTATCATGTGATGTCAGGCTGTGTAAGTTATCATGTGATATCAGGCTGTGTAAGTTATCATGTGATGTCAGGCTGTGTAAGTTATCATGTGATATCAGGCTGTGTAAGTTATCATGTGATGTCAGGCTGTGTAAGTTATCATGTGATTACAGGCTGTGTAAGTTATCATGTGATGTCAGGCTGTGTAAGTTATCATGTGATATCAGGCTGTGTAAGTTATCATGTGATGTCAGGCTGTGTAAGTTATCATGTGATATCAGGCTGTGTAAGTTATCATGTGATGTCAGGCTGTGTAAGTTATCATGTGATATCAGGCTGTGTAAGTTATCATGTGATGTCAGGCTGTGTAAGTTATCATGTGATTACAGGCTGTGTAAGTTATCATGTGATGTCAGGCTGTGTAAGTTATCATGTGATGTCAGGCTGTGTAAGTTATCATGTAATGTCAGGCTGTGTAAGCTATCATGTGATGTCAGGTTGTGCAAGTTAATCATGTGATGTCAGGCTGTGTAAGTTATCATGTGATGTCAGGCTGTGTAAGTTACCATGTGATGTCAGGCTGTGTAAGTTATCATGTGATGTCAGGCTGTGTAAGTTATTATGTGATGTCAGGTTGTGCAAGTTATCATGTGATGTCAGGCTGTGTAAGTTATCATGTGATGTCAGGCTGTGTAAGTTATCATGTGATGTCAGGCTGTGTAAGTTATGTGATGTCAGGCTGTGTAAATTATCATGTGATGTCAGGCTGTGTAAGTTATTATGTGTTGTCAGGCTGTGTAAGTTATCATGTGATGTCAGGCTGTGTAAGTTATCATGTGATGTCAGGCTGTGTAAGTTATCATGTGTTGTCAGGCTGTGTAAGTTATCATGTGATGTCAGGCTGTGTAAGTTATCATGTGCTGTCAGGTTGTGTAAGTTATCATGTGATGTCAGGCTGTGTAAGTTATTATGTGATGTCAGGCTGTGTAAGTTATCATGTGATGTCAGGCTGTGTAAGTTATCATGTGTTGTCAGGCTGTGTAAGTTATCATGTGATGTCAGGCTGTGTAAGTTATCATGTGATGTCAGGCTGTGTAAGTTATCATGTGTTGTCAGGCTGTGTAAGTTATCATGTGATGTCAGGCTGTGTAAGTTATCATGTGATGTCAGGCTGTGTAAGTTATCATGTGTTGTCAGGCTGTGTAAGTTATCATGTGATGTCAGGCTGTGTAAGTTATCATGTGCTGTCAGGTTGTGTAAGTTATCATGTGATGTCAGGCTGTGTAAGTTATCATGTGCTGTCAGGCTGTGTAAGTTATCATGTGATGTCACGTTGTGTAAGTTATCATGTGCCAATTTAAACCATACCACGGGCGGGGATAGAACCCGCGATCCGAGTCTCAGATCTCCAGACCGTCACGTTAGCCACTGGACCAGCTAGCTTCAATAAGATTCATCCAACTAGGTATATTTCTGCACCATAGGAAGGTTAGCACAGACTAGCTGGCTCAGTGGCTAACGCGACGGTCTGGAGTTTTGAGACTCTCTGATCGCGGGTTCTATCCCCGCCAGTGGTATGGTTTGTTTGCAATCGTGTCATTACGATTTCGTGAGTCATGTGCCAATTTCATTAATAATTTTTTTTGTGAAATAATTAGAGAGTTAAATTATCATAATTATTATAATCAAATAAAGCGCTAAACTGACAAGGGTCATGCAGCGCTGTCCTGAGTTAAATTAACTTAATGTTCTTAATATGTCTATAACCTCTATATGTCCTCTAGAACATTGTTAAAAATTAATATGTTATGTACATTAAGCTTACGTAGAGCTTAATTACTGCATAAATTGTCTTAAAAAGCTGACCGGTCAGTCTTACAGAAAAGTTTGGACTGATTTTAGATTTTGGGGGGTGGGGGTGGGGGTGGGGGGTGGGGGTGGGGGGTGGGTGGGGGTGGGGTGGGGGGTTGTTTGGTGGGGGTGGGGGGTGGTGGTGGGGGATGGGGGTGGGGGGTGGGGGTGGGGGTGGGGGGTGGGGAGGGAAAGCAATTGAAAAAATAAATAAATCCTGCTTTTTCGTGTGATAATTTGTGAATGTCGCA